CCCCCCGGCAGACCTCCTCTCCTCTCCTTTTCGGTTCCTAAATTCTCCCTCTGTGCTTTGGGGAGCTCAGTCCCCAACAAGACCTCAGATGTGCCGGCTCTTCCCGGAGTGTCCCCACCCATCCTTGTCCACATGAGTCCTGGTTCTTTCCAGGGCCTGGCATCGGCTGCAGGGCACCCTTTCCCACGTCCCTCCTAGCCCCGGCCTGGAAGCCAGCAGTGTCCCTGCCCCTCCATATGGCTTCCTGCTGGTCTCCCCTTCTCCCTGGAAACCCCCACCTTTCATTCCTGTCTTCCTGCCGCCTCCTGCAGACCGCACCTCTGCTCTTACCCCTGTGGCTGGCAAGGGCAGCTTACACAGAAGGTGCTCTGTGCACTGGGAACACCCCAGCCTCCACTCCCTCTCCACCCCGCCCCCGAGGTCATTCCCCCTTGCTGACAGTGATGCACCCTCGCCTCCTCTCGCTTTGAGCTCAGCCCCCCAGTGCCCTGACCCCAGCATCCAGCAGGACCATAATGCTGGTGAAATGCGTCCCCCTGTCCTGCACCTGCGCCCACGCGGATGCACCTGGCTGGAGACCTCCCCACAGCTCTCGTTTTCTTACCCGCAGTCCCAGCCGTGTCTCCTTGGCCCAGTCAGCCGTGCGGAGGTTGGCAAACTGTGGCCCATGAGCTTACAATGGTCTTCGTGTTGAACAAATACTGTTTAATTGGAAAAAGAAAGAAACGATATTCACAGCCCTCCCCCACCCCCCACCGCACCAGCTTGTCTGTTGCACCCACGCGCTATTCTCCGCGTTGGCCACCGCGGTCAGACCTCCTGCCGAAGGCACGCTCCACTGGGCGCTAGATCCGGTCCAGGCCACCTTAGCAAGGACTCACACCCCCCATCCTTCCCATCATCTGCCCCTGCCATCGCTTGATCGATTTGAACACTGACCCCTTGTGACCGCACACCCCTGTAGCAGCTGCCCCTTCTCTGCCCTCCTTGTGTCCCGCTCCCCAGGAGCGCCCTCCTTCAGTGCCTGCTTTCTCCCCTTCCTCTTCCACTCCAGATGTCCTTCCATCAGCACCCCTGTCAGGGCCACAGGGGCCCCCTTAGCATTAAGGGTCTGGTCTTAACCATTGGCGACATCATTTGCCACCGTTGATTGCTCTTTTCCCAGATTCGCCTCTTTGACAGGATGCCTCCCCCTCCTCGTGTCCTCCTGGCTTACTTAACACCTTCCCTTTGCTATTTCCCAATGCTCTTTCTGGCCTCTAAGCGTCGGGGTGCCCTCCATCCTCTCTGTGTGGTGGGCTCCGCATGCCAACAGCTTCCACAGTGTGTCTCCTGCCGGTCTTCTCCCTGAAATCACACCTGGCTGCCTGGTCTGTCCCCACCCAGGTGGGATAGATGTCTTATGCCAAGCACGCGCCCAGTGGGGCTCCTCCTCCCCTCGTCCCCCACCCCCAGGTCTCCCCTGCTGTAGTAGACCACTGCCCACCCTCCAGCTGCAGGCGAGACCCAGGGGTCAGCCCCGACCCTTTCTCACACATATAGCCATCGGAGATCCTAGTAGCGAGCACTCCCTTCAGACTCATCCAGAATGCTGTCACACCCCGTCGCCTCTACCCTGCCACCCCCATCATTTCCTGTGGTCACCTCCCGACCACCCTCCCCTCTCCTGCTCTCATCACTCAGAGAAAGCCCTACACCCTTTCCTTCAAAACCCCTTACCGGCTTCCCACTGACTCAGAGACTGGCTCATGCTTCCGTTTGTGTCTCACTCCCCCTGTTCCCACCATACCGTCCTCCCTGCTGCTTCCCCCCGTGCTCCGGGCTGCTCTAGTCCCCAAGCCTTTGCACTTGCAGTGCCCTCTGCCAGGAACGCCCTTCAGGTCCCCCCACCTCCCCCGCTCCATCCATTACCTCCTTCAGAGCTCTGCTTATTTAACATTTAAATCATCACCTTATTTAAAATTGTGTCCCCTATCCCCACCCAGAATTTCCAGTCTCCTTTCCCTGCTTTGGTTGGTTCCACAGCAGAGAGCATCATCTATTATGTGTATTTCTAGATTGTGACATATATTTCACATTTACAGAATCAATAGGGATACAGACAGTATGTATATTTCAGAGAGAAGAGATGATAAATTTCACATTTGTAGATTACTGTATGGCCAACAGGCTCTCCCAGGGAGGGTGTAAATCTCAAGAGGACAAGCACTTTTATTTCTTTTGTTCATGTGATCATTCCAGGCACCTCGAACTGCCTAGCGCTGAGTAGAAATTCAACAAATATTTGTCAAATGTATGTAGTTACATAATTTAAAATATTTTTGTGTAAAAATACGTGTGGTAAATTCCTTGTTAGATTTCCTAGTCTCGCTCCTCCCCAGGGTAACCCGTAGTCCTGAAGTGGATGTTTACCTTCTCCGTCTGCCTTTTAAAACTTTCATTTAAAACTGCTAGGTCAACGTGTAGCCATAAGCAATATGCAATACGGTTTTGTGTGTTTTGAGAACCAGTATCAATGTCAGTATATTGACCACTCGGTACCATGTGTTTCAGATCCGTCTCTCTCGATGCGGATAGATCAAGTTCGTTCATTTTAACAGATGCTTAGTTTCCCCAGAGCAACTATGTTCCAGCCTGTCCTCCCCGATCTGTTGATACGCACTTCAGCTGTTCCTGGTCTTTCACTCTCACGTGGTGGCGCCGCAGTGGGCAGTCACCCGTCTGTCTGTGTCCGTGTGCTGCGGCCTCTCCAGGGAACAGGCCGGGGGACCCCCTGCACCGCCAGGCATGCTTGTCTGCACCTCCGCCATTGCCATGGTTACGCAGCTGGTCCTGTTCCCGTCAGCAGCCGGGAGTGCCCGTTGTCTCACATCCTTGCCCTCCTTCAGCAGTAGCTCCTCGCCGACCCGATGGAGGTTGGAATGGCATCATGTCTTAATTTGCCTTCCCCTGACTCTCAGTGAAGCGAAGCACCCTTTTCACGGGTATCTGGTTTCTTCAGTGAATTGTCTTTTTCTGTTTTTCTACTGTTGCTTTTCACTCTCTTACTGATTCAGACTTCTGTCTGTAGGTTCTGGATCCAAACACTTTGTCTGTTATTTGCCTCACAAATATCTTCTCCCAGCCTGTGGCAGGTCTTTTAACTTTGTCATACTTGTCCAGAAGTTGTAATTTTGGGTACAGTCAAACTTACTAGGGTTTTCCTTTATGATTTGCTTTTTCTATCTTAGGACAGCCTTCCCTACCGCACTGCAGGTCAGAAGGACATTCTTTTCCATCTTCTTAGAAACTTTTAAAGTTTTGCTTTGCACGTTGAAGTCTTTAATCTATCAAGAATTAATATTTGTGGGGTTCCTGGGTGGCTCAGGAGTCAAGCATCTGCCTTAGGCTCAGGTCATGATCTCAGGGTCCTAAGATCGAGCCCCGCATCGGGCTCTCTGCTCAGCGGGAAGCCTGCTTCTCCCTCTCCCACTCCCTCTGCTTGTGTTCCCTCTCGTGCTGTGCCTGTCTCTGTCAAATAAATAAATAAAATATTTTTTTAAAAAAAGAGTTAATACTTGTGTAGGTTGTGAGGGAGAATTTAAATTTTTTTCCCCACAAGGACATCTGATTTCCCAACAAAATCTGCTGAATATTCTGTCTTTTCTCCAGTGATTTATAATAACGCCCGTTTGGTCATGAACCAGGTTCCCGTGCACGCACTTGGTTTCTGGGCTCTTTATTTGGTTTTTTTGGTCTTTGTCTCTGTGCCAACACTCCCTGTTTTAGCTTCATAAGAAGCTCTCTCATCTAGAAGACTAATAAGCCTTCCCTCCTTGCCCTTTGAAACCTTCCTTGACTATCCTTGGACCTCTGTTCTCGATGAGTCTCAGAATCATGATGCCAAGTTCTCAGAAAATCCTGCTGGAATTTTGATGGGAACTGCATTGACTTTGTCATTTCATTTCTGGAGAATTCGCTTCCTCACCACGTGAGCATATGAGCCCCTCTCCCCATGGGCAGACTCACTGAGTAAAGGCTGAGTGGCCTGAAGCAGCTTCACGGTTTTCTCCAATCGTGGTTTCTATTGTGGATGGCATTTTCACATTCACAGTATCTTAAATAGTTATTACAAGTCTATAGCTCTGCTGTTAACTTCCTTTAGTAAAAGACTCCTTTTGCTCAACCTCCTTGTTATTTCTAGTAAAGGACCTGTCACTTGAGATTCTCATGGATTTTGTTCTGTAGACCGTTGTACCTTCCTCAGATAACACCAAAGTTATCTCTCTTCTTTTAAAATTGTTATAACTTTATTCTTCTTCTTCGGCAATTTGTCCAGGATATTGTTGCACGGTCCCGGCGTCCTTCTCTGTGAGGTGCTTCAAAGGTCTGGGCGGTAAGGATGGTTTTTGCCATAGACTTTTTTAGATTTTATTTATTTATTTGACAGAGAGACAGAGATCACAAGTAGGCGGGGCGTGGGGGTGGATGGGAGCAGGCTCCCCGCTGAGCAGAGAGCCCGATGCGGGGCTTGATCCCAGGATCCTGACATCATCACCAGAGCCAAAGACAGAGGCTTAACCCGCTGAACCACCCAGGCGCCCCTGCCATAGACTTTTAATGATATTCTTGTTAAAAGTTTATAGACATGGGACACCTGGGCGGCTCAGTCGGTGAAGTGTCTGCCGTTGGCTCAGGTCATGATCCCAAGGTCCTAGGCTCAAAGTCCGCATCAGGCTCCTTGCTCATCAGGGAGCCTGCTTCTCCCTCTGCCTGCTGCTCCCCCTACTTATACTCTCTCTCTCTGACAAATAAACAAAAATCTTAAAAAAAAAAAAAAAACTACATAGAGAACAAGATTTATGTAACCCTTAAAGAATAAGGGTCAACACCCACATTCTCAGAACCCCAGCATCAGAAATAGATCACAGCCAGAAACTTCCATTGTCCCGTGGTCCCTCTCTGATGCCATTCCCCTCCCTCCCTTTTCCAGACAACCAGAAAATTCAGAAGGAGGTGTGATCAGTCCCTTGCTTTTCTTCACATTTTTTTTCCTTACGTATGTATGTAGATATTCCTAAATAACGCTGCTTCTCTCACGGACCCTTGTTTCTGAGAGTCGCTCTGTATTGACACAGTACAGCTGCCCTCGTTCCTTGTCACCACTCTCTGGTTTTCTGCTTTACAATGGCGGCACCGGGCATGCATCCTTCTGTTGGTGGGCATTTGTGCTGTTTCTAACGTGTTTCCTTTTAGGAACGATGCTGTTGTGCACATTGTGAAGCATGTGTAGAAGTTTCTCTAGGTGTAGACTTGGGAGTGGAACTGGCGGCTCGTAGGAAGGACACGTGTTTAGCTTCTCCAGGTCACGTCTGAGTGCTCTGTAAGGTGGCCTACCCGCCGCCACCTGCCCATGGTGCCCGGCCGCCCACCGCCCCTCATCCTCGCCAGCCCTGGAAACGCCTCCCATCCTCATTTCTGCCCATCTGGCGGGAGCACGCCATTTTAAAATTCTTATTTTAAAATGTGCATTTTCCCAATTAATGAGGTTGAACGTTATATCCTCTGTGTATAGGCCACTTGTGTCTCTTCTCTGGAATAACCTGTGTATCCCTTTTGTCTGTTTTTCTTTTGTTTTCCCTTTACTTATTGACTAGTTGGATCCCCTTTCTTGTTCTGAATATTAATCACTTTCCCAGGCGTGTGTATTGCCAGTATCTTCCCCCTTTATGGTGTATTTTAAAAAACAGAGGCTTTTGCTTTTAATATACTTGAATTTTACTTTTGTGGTTTGTCGTTTTCATGTCATAAACAATTAAGAAATTTCCTCTAGGGGCGCCTGAGTGGCTCAGTGGGTTAAAGCCTCTGCCTTCAGCTCAGGTCATGATCCCAGGGTCCTGGGATCGAGTCCCACATCGGGTTCTCTACTCCGCAGGGAGCCTGCTTCCTCCTCTCTCTCTGCCTGCCTCTCTGCCTACTTGTGATCTCTGTCAAATAAATAAATAAAATCCTTTAAAAAAAAAAAAAAAAAGGAAGAAAGAAAGAAACTTCCCCTACCTCAAGGCAGTAATCCACTATCTCACATTCAGCTCTAAAAGGTCTGCCTTTCACATTCAAGCTCTTAGTGGCAGTGGGAGCTCGGGACCCTCATTCTTTCTCACTAGCACTTTGGGTCTTTTCCTTTGCTCTTTGGGGGTCACCTGCCTAATGACCCTGTAACGAGTTCTGTGAGACATCCAGATGGCACGGTGCTCGGGCTTGCAATTACTCTACTAATCACATTGGAGAGAAAGGACCCCTTTGCTGTATTGAGGCACGTTTTGGGGGGAATGTCCTAAGCCCCCTCCATTTAGCTCAACTGTCTCATGTGCCTCTGTGAAGTTGTAGAACTTTCTCCGAAGATCTTGTACGGCTTTTTGTTGTTATAGATATATTCCTAGGTTCCTTGTATCATTTTTTGTTTTTATTTTTTTAGGTTTTTGTTTTTTGTGTTTTTTTGTATTTTTAAAAAATTGCTGTTGTCAGTGGTGTTGTTTCTTTGTTTTTGTTTTTGGTTTGTTTTGTTTTGTTTTCAGAGAGATTTTGAGAGCTGGGAGGGAAGGAGCAAAGGGAGAGAGAGAATCTTAAGCAGGCGCCGTGCCCAACACGGAACCTGACGCAGGACTCCAACTCACAACCCTGAGATCAAGACCTCTGCCTGTCAAAAATTAGAAGCTTAACTGACTGAGGCACCTGGGCACCCCAGTGGTGCCTTTTTTTAACATGGTTTTTCTGTTTGTTGCTGATGTCTGCAGGGAGCTGGGAGGCAGGGAATCCTTTTTCCCAGCCCTTGTTCTCATCCACGATGGGCTCAGTTCTGTGACACCAACCCCCCCTTGGGCATCTGTCCAGAAGGCCCACCAGGAACATAGCTCATCATCAGAGAATGTGGGAGCAGAGGTGGACAAGCACAGTCCTCACCCATCCATCCTCTTTCCCTTGGGCAATTGGCCACCCCCAGGGGCCAGGCCCTCTCTGTTGTTTTGCTGGGGTTAAGCTTCTTCACTGTGGTCCAGTGGGGGGACTTCTTATCCTAAAGTCAGTAGAGTGCATTGATTACTTGACCCTTCATTTTCTACCTGTCTTCTCTTTCATAATATAAACATACAAGGTCATAAAATACCCTCTAAGTACCATTGTAGATGCAGCCAGCCCACACCTTTTGATAAATATTATCTTTATTAGCATTGAGTTCCACATATCTTCTCATTTTCATTATCATTTGCCCTTAGAGCCTTGGATTATTTAGAAAACATACATATTTTTAAATTTTAGTACCAATGAGGAGTTTGGGATATTTGTTCTTGATTTCTGACTTAATATTATAGTTAGAAAATAAGTGCATAAAGTATAAATCTTTTGAAATTTACCGAAGTTCATTTTGTGCTCTCGAAAGTTCATTTTTCCTGACTTCTGTGTGGCTTGAAAACGTGTGTGTTCCTTGTCTTTAGATTCTGCTACATCCGTGTGATCAGGTTCGCTAATAGTGTCACTCGAATTTCCTATAACCCAGAGTCAGCTAATTTATCAGTTACAGAAACAGGTGTGTTGAAACCCGCCGCTGAGAAGTTGGGAGCTGTTTATTTCTCCTGGAGTTTTGCTTTATTATTTTGAAGCCAAGTTGTTAGATAAAACATTTAGAATTCTTTTCTCTTTGTGGTCAGTGTAACATTGCACAGTGACCCTTTTTGTATTTCTGTGATACTTCTCTTTTCAAAATCAATTTCCTCTGATACGGTTTAACTACATCTTTTTTATTTTTATTTATTTTTTAAGATTTTATTTATTTATTTGACAGATCACAAGTAGGCAGAGAGGCAGGCAGAGAGAGAGGAAGGGAAGCAGGCTCCCTGCTGAGCAGAGAGCCCGATGCAGGACTCAATCCCAGGCCCCGGGGGATCATGACCTGAGCTGAAGGCAGAGGCTTTAACCCACTGAGCCACCCAGGCGCCCCTGACTACATCTTTTCTAAAGAGGTCTTTATTCTGGCTTTTTTTCTTTTACTCTACTCTTGCATCCTTCTGTTTTAGGTGCGTCTTTTGCAAACATCATACAGCTAGTTTTCTTGCCAGTTTTTAGTGTGGTCATCTTTACCTTTTAAATGTCCAGAACGGTGGCCACTAGCCACATGTGGCTGTTGTTCACTTAAAAAGTGCTGCAAAGGGGTGCCTGGCTGGCTCAGTTGGTTAAGCAGCTGCCTTCCGCTCAGGTCATGATCCTGGAGTCCCGGGATTGAGTCCCGCATTGGGCTCCTTGCTTGGTGGGGAGTCTGCTTCTCCCTCTGACCCTCCCTGCTCTCATGCTCTCTCTCTCATTCTCTAATAAATAAAATCTTTGGGGCGCCTGGGTGGCTCAGTGGGTTAAAGCCTCTGCCTTTGGCTCAGGTCATGATCCCAGGGTCCTGGGATCGAGCCTCGCACTGGACTCTCTGCTCAGCGGGGAGCCTGCTTCCTCCTCACTCTTTGCCTGCCTCTCTGGCTACTTGTGATCTTTGCCTATCAAATAAAAACTAAAATCTTAAAACAAAAAAAAAGCAACTGTAAAGGGGTGCCTGGGTGGCTCAGTGGGGGAAGTGTCTGCTCAGCGGGGACTCTGCTTCTCCCTGCCCCCCCATTTCTTGTTCTCTCTCTCTCTCTCCCAAATAAATAGATAAAACTTTTTTTTCAAGTGCTGTAAAGACGAAATATACAAAGGGTGAACATTTTGGATATATCGGGTTAAGTAAAATATATTATTAACATTAATTAACTACTAGAAAACCTAGAATGAGTGGTGTGGCCTGCACGGTTTCTCCAATGGACAGTGCCGGTCCAACCTCCTTACACTGATTGGGAAATTTTGCAGTATTCTCTCTCTGAATATCGCCTTGCCCGCCTTCTCCCTACTTGTTTATTTGGAATGTTTTCATACTCCCCTCCGTAACAGCGCACGTGTCTTCGTATATTAAGCTCTGTCCATCATTTATGTGTCTTCTAATCAGCTCACATCCTTGGCTCGGTGGTTTTCTTTCTCGTTTCCCCTATAGATTGGATTTTTAAATTCCAGTGATTTTATTTTACAATTCCAAAGTTAGAGTTTCTTCTTTTTTCAAGCTCTGATTTGTCAGTTTGGGTAGTCTCTCATCTATCAGACTCTCCTCCCTTTTTATTTTTCCAAATATATTAAACTTTGTAGTCTGTGTGTGATAATTGCAGTATCGCACGTCTCTGCGGGCCAGGTCCTGCGGCGTAGGACCTCTCCGACCCCCAGAGGCGGCTGCTTTTCTTGTTGTGCTGGTGATCTGTAGTTGTGAGCCCTGCAACGCCTGCAAGCTGTGGAAAATGCTTTCCTCCTCAGACACTCTGTCTGCCTCTGCTGGTCCTTGGAGCCACCACGGCCTCAGCCTGGAGGCTTTCAGGCCACTCTGTGGTGTGACCCGGCACGGTCAGCCTTGGGCACAGGCTTCGGTGCATCAGCTCCCAGGCTGGGACTTCGGTCCCTGTGCCCTTCTGCATGTCCTTTTTTCTGTAGTTCTTGGGAGTCAGTTTGGCCATGACTCTCATGTCGTTTGGCTCCTCTTCTGGTTGTCAATTTAGTTTTTTTCATGGGGACCTGAGTTGCAGGGGTGTCCCTGGAGGGCAGGTTTGCATTTGCCTGCGCTGGGGGGTGGCCTCCCGGGTTGCTGGGGCGGTCAGCCAGTGTTTCCGCGCATTTCCTGGTGTCGGTTCTCTGCACCATGTGGGGGGTATGGATTCAGTTGGACACGGGGAAGTTTGCTTTCTCAGGGCGGCTGGCCCACCCATGGCCCTAGACAGGTGGCAGCTTCCTGGTAGCGCCCTCGGGTGGCTGGAGTTTGCTCTTTGATTCTTATATCTGGGATCTTTCTTTTCTGCTCACTTATATACAGGTGGGGGGAGGTGAAGGGGGTATATTTGGGGTGACTATGTAGCATTTCTGTGTTAAAAGCGAGGGCAGGAGTTGCCAAGAGCAGCCCAGTCTTCTGCATGGAGGGACCAGAGGTCCAGCCCTGAGAATGCTTTCCCACCCTACCCTGTGCTCAATACCACATGACCTCAAGCTTCGCCCAGAAGGCCCTAGGTCCCTGCTGCTCTGGCCTTCCGTTCCCACTGGGTTCTCTTGCTGCTTGACCCCTGTAAGCTCTTGTGTCCACGTCTGTGGCTGGATGTGTCTCCACCCCATGCCCGAGGGGCCCTGATGCTGTATGTTCATACCCTTTCCCTTTTTTAGGCTCAGGGCCCCCAGTTCCTGCCCCTGACCTCTTAATGCAGATCAAGCAGGAGGGCGAGCTCCAGCTCCAGGAGCAGCAGGCGCTGGGGGTAGAGGCGTGGGCAGCCGGACAGCCAGATATCGGGGAGGAGCCGTGGGGCCTCAGCCAGCTGGACTCGGGAGCAGGAGACGTCTCGACAGATGCTGCCTCTGGTGAGTGGCCGCACCCAGAGCAGACACCAGGAACAAGATGCCACAACAAAGGGCAGGGTGTGGGGAAGGAGCTTCTGGAAGCACTGCGGGCTCTCGCACATCTGGCCTGACTCACGGGGAAGTTTTCCCACCTGGAGGCAGAGGGCTATACCAGATGATATTCTGCGGGCCCCACCGTGTCTTTGATGATGCCCCTATCTTGGTATCTCTCAGCCTGACCTTCTCCAGCCACATTCCTGCTCTTGCCTCCACCCGTGGGCTTTCAGATCGCCAGATGCCTCACATTCGAGAGGCGTGTATGAAATAAATAACATCTGAGCTTCCTGGGGCCTTAGAGAAGGGGCAAAAGAGAACTGGGTGCGGGAGAGGGTGGGGCCGTTATGCTCCGGCAGAAAAGGCCCCGCTGGGATCGGAGGGTCCCGCCTGCCCTTCCTTTCACAGGGGTTCCCCCCTTCCTTCCCCTAACCCACAGGCTCTGATCTCTCTTCATTGCAGGCGTCCACCCCAACTTTTCAACCACTATCCCACCCACTTCCTGGCAGGCGGACCTCCCTCCCCACCATCCCTCCTCGGCATGCTCAGACGGGACACTGAAGCTCAACACAGCAGCCTCCACAGAAGGTACGGGGCAGAGAGAGGACGGGAAAGGGTCGCATCTTCCTGGAGGCTGCCTGGGGGCCCTCACTGTTAGTGGTGAACTGCCCTGACCTTTTGGCCAACAGGCTGTTAGGTGTCTGTGATGTTGGGACTCTGTCAGTCTGTCCTTTATCACCTTCTAAATTCTTAAGCTTGGACAGCCTTTCTCAAGAATGTTTCCGGCTGTCCCTTTTTCATGTGGTCTTAACCAGTCAGCCCTGGGAAGCTGATCCCTTAAGAGGACGTACCTTCTGCTCAGCCTCAGCAATCCTGGCTCCTCGCCGACATCACAAAACCAAAAGCAAACCAGAACCGCTTCTTAGGTACCAGCACGACGAAAGACAGGTGTCTGAAGGCCAGAATCGGGAGGAACAACAGCCAAATTTATGTATTGGCTTTCTGTTTACTTCTGTTTTGACAGCCGGTTGTCTGTTACTTAAACATTTCCATCCTATTTTAGCCCCACCCCAGAATGTGCTAGAAGCCTAGGTCCATGATCTAAAACTTCAGGATGTGAGATTCAAGTACATTTATATAAAATCAAATACATTGGTACTATTTCACTGACACTTTTTCCATGAGCAAGCTGGCCACATTCACCAAATGCTTGCTGCCTTCCAAATAGCGCCCTCAGTGCTTTCGGACGTGTCATCGGGTTTAATCCTCAGACAACCCTGTGAAATGGGATCTTCACAGGTCGGGGAGCTGCCTGAAGCCCACAGCTGGGTGGGGGGGTGGGGACACGGTACAATCGCACATCCCCCTGAGCCCACCACGGGGCTTCTGTGTCTGGGTTGCTTGGCCGCCTGTGGTCAGCCCCAGGAGAAAAGCATGATGAGCCTTAATAGCCAAAGTGAGCCTAGGGCGCTGTGAGCCGCTGTGCTGCTGGCTTTGCCTGTGCGGGTCCTTCCCCCGCACCTGGGACAGCCCCAGGCCCACCGGGAGGGGCTCTGCTGAGCCCCATACTGAGGCTGGGAGGGTAGGGCTCAGAGGTGGCGGGGCTTGAGAAGCTGCGGACTGGCCCCGTGAGAGTGCCTGGGCTTCCTTCTCTAAGCAGGTGTGGGGACAGAACGAGACGGGGTCTTTCTCTCTTTCTCAGCAGATGTAAAAATTGTGATCAAGACAGAAGTCCAGGAAGAGGAGGTGGTGGCCACACCCGTGCACCCCACTGACCTAGAGGCTCACGGGGCCCTGTTCGGACCAGGCCAAGCCACGAGGTTTTTCCCTAGCCCCGTCCAGGAAGGAGCCTGGGAAAGCCAGGGCAGCTCCTTCCCCAGCCAGGACCCCGGGCTGGGCCTGAGAGAGCCCGCCCGGCCCGAGCGGGACATGGGCGAGCTCAGCCCCGCGGTGGCCCAGGAGGAGGCGCCCCCCGGGGACTGGCTCTTTGGGGGGGTCCGGTGGGGCTGGAATTTCCGGTGCAAACCGCCCGTGGGCCTGAACCCGAGAACTGGGCCCGAGGGGGTGCCCTACAGCTCCCCCGACAACGGAGAGGCCGTGCTGGACCCCGGCCAGGCCCCGAGGCCCTTCGGAGAGCCCTGTAAATACCCCGGCCGGACCAAAGGCTTCGGCCACAAGCCGGGCCTGAAGAAGCACCCGGCGGCGCCCCCTGGCGGGCGGCCCTTCACGTGCGCCACGTGCGGGAAGAGCTTCCAGCTGCAGGTCAGCCTGAGCGCGCACCAGCGCGGCTGCGGGCTGCCCGAGGGGGCGCCGGGGGCGGCGGCGGCGGCGGCGGCGGGCGGCGGGGCGCGGGACGGCAGCGCGCTGCGGTGCGGGGAGTGCGGCCGCTGCTTCACGCGGCCCGCGCACCTCATCCGCCACCGCATGCTGCACACGGGCGAGCGGCCCTTCCCCTGCACTGAGTGCGAGAAGCGCTTCACCGAGCGCTCCAAGCTCATCGACCACTACCGGACGCACACGGGCGTGCGGCCCTTCACCTGCACCGTGTGCGGCAAGAGCTTCATCCGCAAGGACCACCTGCGCAAGCACCAGCGCAACCACGCGGCGGGGGCCAAGGCCCCGGCGCGCGGCCCGCCCCTCCCGCCGCTCCCGGCCGGGCCCCCGGACCCCTTCAAGAGCCCGGCCTCTAAAGGACCCTTGGCCTCCACAGACCTTGTGACCGACTGGACTTGTGGCCTGAGCGTCCTGGGACCCAGCGACGGCACGGACCTGTGAGGCACAACCCCCCCGCCCCCGTTCCCGCACCCCGCAGGCCGCGCGTGTCTCGGACGCCCCAGTGGCAGACTGCGGGGTGGTGGGGAAGGCTGAGGGGGGAACGGAGTCTGGGGGAAGCAGATTTCCACGTTGCTGAACTGATCACTGGAAAAAGAAAACGATCCGGCCTCCACCTCTAAACAAAGTAGAATTCTCTGATTGTGAAACTGAGCAGCATAGAATTTTAAGTAATTTAATTATGAAAACTTTTTTTTTTTTTTTTAATTCTTGACGAAAAAAGCTGGAAAATAGTCGTAGCACCAGTTTAAACTTTAGAGTGTACTTTTGGTTCCCGGACCGCGTGTTTGTGTGGCCTGTGTCCTTACCAAGTCTGACAGTGAGTGTGCCCCGAGTTGGCTGGCTGGGGACACAGGTGAGGAGGGTCCTTCCCTCGCACCACTGACTCCTAGGGATGGGCTGATGGTTGCACAGAGCTCGGTGGAGGTGAGACACCTCTGGGCCCCCAAGCTGTACTCCCGGCTGCTGGGCCTGCAAGCTCGTCCCATCAGCACCTGCTCTGCAATGTGGAGACCTGCCCCCCACCTGGTATCAGCTGGGAGAAGGACTTGCCCACCTACAGCCAGTCCTATTTCCTAGCTCTCCCCAATCTGAAAAGGCCCCCAAAAGTGCTGGCCTATTACGGGCCATCTGCCACCCCTATGGGAAGGGATCTGGGTGGTGTCACCCTGTTAGGTGACTCAGAGCCTTCTAACGGAGAGTCCTCTGAAAACCCAGTGTTAGAGGCGAGGCAGCTGAGGCCGGCAAGTGGAAGCCTTGGCCGTCACCATCACCTACCAGCAGAGCCAGGAACAAAGCTGGCCTGCCCGCCCCTAAGCGGGGCTGCTTTCCACTCCAGAGAAATGCTTCTCTTTCCTTTTCTCTCCGTGTAGTGTTTCTTCATTGTCAAAATGCTTTCACTTCGCATCTCATTTGATGACTGTGACCTTGTGAAGCACGCAGGACAAGTGTTCTTTCTTGTTAGAGACGAGGAAGTAAATTCCTCAAGGGGGACACACCCCGGCCCGTCTCAGTCAAGTGCACGGCGCCGTGCCCACGGGTGAGGAGGACTACGGACTAGACGCGGCTCATCTTCCCGGGGCATCAGTCTGGGGGAGGGAAGGTTTTCGTCTTTGCCCTCTTAAGATTTGTGCCACATCTGCCAGAGCAGAGTCGGCAGGCGTCAAGACGCCGCTGAGCGCTGGCCTCTTCGGTGAGTGTGCTCGGTGGCAGGTCCGAGAGGCTGGGCAAGGGCCAAGGGCTTTCTCACTCCCCATCTGACATCTTCGAGGTCGAACTAGAAACGGCCCAGGTTTCTTGATTCTACCACAGTGCCGTCCCCACCACACAAGTATCCATTCCCATTTTGTTGGAGCAGCCGCCGGTTCCCTCGCCCCAAGTGGGTGACTTGTCTCCCCTGAGGAGCGAGAGACCATGGCTTCCGTTCCGTCAGCTCCCTCGTGCGTACTTTTATTAGGCAATAGACTAGTTAAGAAAATTGTTTCTATGTACTGTATATTTTGTACCTGTTTACACTTCTAATATTGATATAACTGATATTTTGAAAAACAAATGAAGAGGAAACATCCTGTTAAAATAAAACCTAACCAGCACCAAGGCGCTTTGGTTGGTTCCATTCTTAGACCCGAGTCTTCAGCCCTGATGCCTCCAGACCCTTCTCGCCGGCGAGCTGGGTGGCCAGCTCCCTCACGCCCCGCCCCTGCGCGTGGTCACCTCAGGTCGGGGAGGCCACCCATCCCTGAGAGCTAGGAGTGGAAGAATCCGGAGAAGTTTGACTCTGTGGAGGGGGAAACCGTAGCACAGCCCGTCACTGTGCTTCAGAATATAATCATGTCGGTGTAATTTGGCTTTATGTAATTCGGTACGATGTACATGAAGAAAATGGGTCTGGGAGAGAAAAGCAGAACGTCAGAGAACACTGGATGCTGTGCTGTATGTTCTCTCCTCGAGTCTTGTCTTGGCTGGCCAGGAGCAAAGAAAGGACCAGCGATGCCTGGGGTCATTGTATTCCTGGTCCGGGACTGAAGTCGGCCCGTGGCGTCTGAGCTGGGCTCACACCCATGTTCCCATCAACCAGAGTTAACGATAGTTTATGTTTTCTCTCGTGTGGTTGGTCGTTGTCACATTTTGATCTTTGTCTTTTTAAGAAAATGAAAATGTAAAATAAAATCTGCGTAAAATTGCCCCAAGGGCATGGGAGTAGGACATGGAGAGAGAGTGGAAGTGGGTCTCACCCACGCCCATTGTGGTGATGGCATCCCTCCTGGGACCCACAGCCCCGATGTCGCCCACACGCTTCTTGTCCGCCCACCCCCCGCCGCAGGACATGCCTCCAGTCCTTGGAAAAGAACGAGGGACACTTCTGGTGCCTGCCCTGCTCACCAAGCCTCCAGCCCACCACCGTGCTCGGCTGTTCGCACACGCCCTCCTGCCACACGCCCCGGGTGCTGCGGGAATCCCGTGTCTCACGCCAAAGCCCTCAGCCATGTAGTGTTTGGCTCAGTAGACGACTCCCAAGGCTCTGGCTTGGGTGCACTCTCAAAACGGAATTTGGGGAGGACAGGGCTTCGTGGAGGCAGAGGGTAGAGTTCAGTATCAACACCCCGAAGGGACACTCGGTGAACAGTTAGGAAGACCAGGTCAGCACCTTGGGCTGGGGGACCCCCGCTTAGGCCAGAGCACTGCTGTCTCTTCTGGTCTTAGTGTCCTCTTGCTGCTAGGAAAAAGGACCACAAGCTTTGTGGCTTAAGCCAGGAGAGATCTGTTTCATACTTCTAGAGGTCAGAAGTCCAAACTGAACTTTAGCGGGCTAAAATCAAGGTGTCAGCAGGGCTGCGTTCCTCCTGGGTCCAGTGAAGAATCCAAGGCCTCGCCTTCTCCCACTTGTAGAGGCCACGCTTGGTTTGTGGCCCTCATCTCCCGTGGCAGTCATTCCAAACTCTGCTTCTATCATCACATCGTTTTCTGACCTGGACTCTCCTGCCTCCCTCTCAGAATTTTGCAACGGACTCTGGGCCCACCAGGATAATCCAGAAAAATCACTTCATTTAGAGATCCTAAATTAATCACACCTGCAAAGTCCCTTTCACCATGTGAGGCGCTATCATTTTTTTTTTATTTTGTTTATTTCAGACAGAGAATGAGTGAGAGAGAGAGAAAGCACAGGCAGGGGTGGAGGGACAGAGGGAGAAGCAGACTCCCCACCGAGCAGAGAGCTGGACGCGGGGCTCAATCCAGGACCCCAGGATCATGACCTGAGACATAGACAGATGCTTAACCGACTGAGCCACCCAGACGCCCCATGTAAGGCACCATACTCACAGGTTCTAGGGATTAGGATGTGGACTCTTTGGGGGGTGGTGTTCGGCTTACTACACATTCCAAATCCCAGGGCAATCCCCAACTCCTGTCTAAGGCCAGGCCAAGTCCTCTGTGAAATGTCCTACGTTCTGGCATCCAAGTGATGTGCTTAAGTGAGAACGCTTGACGGTCGTCATGCTGCGCCCCTCCCTCGTCTCAGTCACCCTCTGCTGCCCATGGAAACGTACCCATCTGAGGCCCGCCTCCTCCCGACATCTTTCTTTACTTTAATCTTTCTGTGACTTCATACTTGTCCAAAGATGGTCCCCATCCCTTTCGACTTTCCATTGTCCCGTAGCAGCACTCTATCTTTGTCCTGTTCCCAGGCGGACTTAAGAGGGGTCAACCAGGCCGTAACCATTGCAACAGCGTCCAGACCAGTGAGGACGGGGCAGGCCCCTTTAACTATTACTCTATTTTCTCTCCATTCTTGGGCAGATACCCCTCCCTCTCGAGGTTCCTGTTACCTTCTCTCTCTCCTCTCTGTCCGTCAGTCTTTATTCCACATCACTGAAGGCTCGCCCAAATCCTCCTGGACCTCAAGGGTGGAACTCCCAGCCCATCCCGCCCCCACTCCGTCCCTCATACAGATCCGGGGTGACCTTTCTAACTGGGAAATCCGAGCACTCTCACTCCCTGGCTTAAAGCCCTTCAACGACCCCTATGACCTACTGCTGAAAATCCCAATTTTAGGCCTGCATAGCCGACCCCTCATGAGGACAGCTTCTCCGTATATTTATCTTCTGCGTAGACTGAACTACCTCCTCCCTGAGCATGTGCTGTTCCATGTCTCTGCACATGCTGTTCCCACTTCATGCTGTTGCTCCCCCCATCGACTCCACAGTGCACCTGGTACACTCCTTACCCCTCAGGAGATGGCTCAGCATCACCAGCCATCCCTGGTCTCTGCAGGCAGCAGTGATGCCTCCCCTGTTTCTCATAGACCCTTGTTCGCACTCCTTTGGTCTTCACATTAGACTCTCCCCTACTTTGTATATAATGTGTTCCTGGAGATTTTATAAAGGTGTATGTATAAAGACGAGGCAGAACACTTACACAAGTCCTAAGGCAGGCTTTATTCCCTGACAGCTAGAAACAAAGTTCCTGATTTGACGCGACTGTCAAGCTCCTTTTAACCCGAAGTCTTGTGCAAATTATACATGATTACTTAAACACATTAAAAGCGCCACTTAGGCATTAAGCATATACACTTAAATAATCTGTCTTTAAAAATAGGGCAAAAAGGAATAAATGCAAATATTGTGGGTTGTAGAACCTGATAGAAACATCTGCAAATTCCAGATGGGATATAATAAACATAATTTTAAATACAGAGCTCAGAAAGGAATAAAGGGAAATCCTAGTGTACCAGAAATGAAGGCAAAACTACATCCAGGTTGTAAGCAGGCGAACAGTGGCTGCGTCTAACAGGGTGGGGTGAAGAGAAGGGTATAGAGGCCTTGGGCCTGTGAAGATCAGAGTTTGAGCTGACACTTCATCCAGAGAACGTCCTCGAAAGACCTCGACTTCAGAAAATACATGGTTCAGAAAAAGTACACCCAACTCCAAAAGACGATGTGCTGGGTGGTCCTCAGGAA